ATAATCTGAGAATAATAAAAGAAAGTGTGACTCTGCAATCTAATCAAAATACTAGATCAAAGTGAACACACGGAAATATAGTTTTGTCACCTGTGGTAGAGGTAGCACTGAGAGAAAATCAACAATGAAATAATGACTTAAGTATCGTGTTGCTATTTGTGCAGGATCTATTACGAGCTCACCACGTCCAAAAACCCGTGATGATGGCGCAATGTATGCCGTACGGAACTGAAGAGCCATTCGAATAAGGTAGAAAACATCAACTGTCGTGCGCACAGAAGTTGTTGTGACTGCTAATTTTGTATCGATTCCCAGACAATTCGATATATTATTGACAACAGGCAGATAAAAGAACAAAGGATCAACAGATACCGAAACGATACACGATATGACAAAAAGTCTGTTCCATAATAATAAGGACTTGTCTTGAGGATCAAAAATCTTTTTGTTAGAAACTTTAAGATCTTCCGGGAACACTGCCCTGGTTACTCCTGATCTCAAGGATTTTCCAAATGTTTTTAGTCCTTCTGATCCCATTTTCACTCCTTCTCTAAACGATTTTGAGGGATTTTTCTTACCACGACTAGTTAGGCTCAGTCCCTCCAAATTAAATCTACATCTCTTAATTCCAGTTGCATTTGAAGACATTGATAATGGAGAATCCAGATCATCTAATCTACATGGTTCCAAAATGTACCAAACTCAGATTCCAATCAATACAAAATTTAATCAAATACAAGCATTAACACAAATTTACCTTACAAATTTCTCTCTTTGACCACCTATGTATTGCGATTTGTAACCACAATCAAACATTTTGGAGGATGGATCACATTCAAGGCTTGAATTGAAGGATCTACGGCAAGTTCAAGCATGAATAACCTACCTATCAATCAAAAATATTTTTTGATACAAATGCTTAAGATCACGTTTTCTCTAAACTTGCTTCATAAAGAAAAAAGAAATTACTCAAGCCTTTTTAATCGCATCTCTCAAACTTGAATAGCAATCTTTTCCTTCTATCTCATATAATAGATGAATTTTTTTTAAAAAATATATATATTTGATGTACATCTTAAATATCTCTTTATTCATTTTTTTTCTTTTCTATTCCTATATTTTTTTCATATCAGAATTAATATAAAAATAAAAATAAAAAAGAAAAAAGAAGATTAAAGAAAATAAAATAACTTACAGTAACGATTTTGATGTTAAAAAAAAATATTAGAGCAAATTAAGCAAAAGTAATATTCTAAAAATATATATTTCTTATAAATAAGAGAAAAAAGTGGAAAAATGATTCTACCGTTATAACCGTTATTCAAAATCTTCTCATCATATTTTTAACCAATAAATACTATTTTTGTTTTCATAAATAAGTCGTTGTTACTATGGATTATATCCTATGACTTATTTCTATTCTCCTTTTGCTATTTTTAATATTAAAAAAATTAAGTTTGGCCCAAACAAAAGTGAAAAGTTTTGTTTATAAACATTTGTATAAGCGGAAAATATGTATTTTACGTCTCAAAATTACTAATACAATAATTTGAATTAAAGTTTATGATTATGCTTACTAGTAAAGTCATTATAAAATCTTAAAACAGATTATAATATATCTATACATTTTTTAAAAAATCCTTAAAGAGAAGTAATTCGATCAATTTTTTAAATAATAATAATAATAATATTTTATATTGTGTGTGCACACATATATATTTATTTATTTTTAATAGGTGCAGTTGATTAATTTTCAAAAGTAATCTCATAAATTAAATTTATTATTTTAGTTAATATATTTTTCTTTATATTGATATTTGATTAAAAAAAACATATTTGGTTTAAATCTTAAATATCTCTTCATTCATTTTTTTTTTCGTTCTTATATTTTTTTCATATCGAAATAAAGATAGAAACGAAAATAAATTTAAAGAAAATTAAACAACTTACAGTGATAATTTTGATGTCCAAAAAAAATATTAGAATAAACTAAGCAAAATTAAGATTATCAAAGTAAGTAATTCTGATAAAGAAGAGAAAAAAGTAGAAAGAGAATTTTATTATTATAAACGTTATTTAAAATTTTTTTATTATAGTAAATACTATTTTTATTTTCATATATAAATTATTATTACTATGATTGTATCTTGTGGCTTACCTTTGTTCTCCCATTGCTATTTTTAAGATTAAAAAAATTAAGTTTGACCCCAAAAAAAAAAGTAAAAAGCTTTGTTTATAAACTTTTGTATGGATTGAAAAAATGTATTATATCTCAAAATTATTCACATAATAATTTGATTAAAGTTTATGATTATGATTACTAATAAAGTTATTGCAAAATTTTAAGATAGATTATAATAGAACTGTATTTTGAAAAAATAAATTCTTAAAGATGAGTAACTCGATTAACTTTTTAAATAATAATACCAACAATAATAATAATATTTTATATTGTGTGTTCGTACATATATATATTTATTTATTTTTAATAGGTACTGATAATTAATTTTTAAAAGTCATCTCATAAATTAAATTTATTATCTTTAGTTAATACATTTTTCTTTACATTAATATTTGATTTAAAAAAATACATTCGATTTAGATCTTAAATATCTCTTCATTAATTTTTTCCTTTTTCGTTCTTATAATTTTTTTCATATCGGAATCAAGATAGAAATGAAAAAAAAATTAAAGAAAATAAAACAATTTACATTAATGATTTTGATGTCTAAGAAAAATATTAGAGCAAATTAAGCAAAAGTAAGTTTATAAAAGTATGTAATTCTGATAAATAAGAGAGAAAAGGGGAGAGAGAGTTCAATTGTTATAACCGTTTTTTAAAATCTTCTTATCATATTTCTGACTAGTAAATACTATTTTTATTTTCATACATAAGTCATTGTTATTATGATTGTATCCCGTGGTTTAACTCTATTCTCCCTTTGCCATTTTGAAGATTAAAAAAATTAAGTTTGATCCAAAAAAAGGTGAAAAGCTTTATTTATAAACTTTTATATATGTGGAAAATATGTATTACATCTCAAAATTATTAACATAATAATTTGATTAAAGTTTATGATTGTGATTACTAATAAGTAATTGCAAAATTTTAAGATAGATTATAATAAAACTGTATTTTTTAAAATAAATTTTTAAAAAATAAGTAATTCGATCAATTTTTTAAATAATAACTACAACAATAATAATAATATTTTATATTGTTTGTGCATACATATATATTTATTTATTTTAAAAAAATACTGTTCTAAGTTTCAAAAGTTATCTCATAAATTAAATTTATTATCTTTAGTTAATATATTTTCTTTTACATTGATATTTAATTAAAAAAATACATTCGATTAAGTTTTTAAATATCTCTTCATTCATTTTTTTTTCTTTTCCGTTCTTATAATTTTTTTCATATCAAAATCAAGATAGAAACAAAAAAAAAAGATTAAAAAAAATGAAACAACTTATAGTA